CTCGGATCCTCCACTGTACCTGTTATTCTTGCTTTGGCCGTTGGCTGTCTCGGCATTTTTGCCTACTGGCGTCTGAAATAGTTTCTGTAACAGTTAGTTACTTGACTATCAACAAAACCCAGGCTTCGTGAAAATAGTTGGAATGATGTAAATAATATGGTTTGTGATGGACGGTGGACAATTCAGTCGTGACAATGTAACACGATCCAATAATAAGAGACTGATTCGTTTTACATTACCATTTCGAAACTCAATACTTTTTTTCACAGGCATGGAAGAAAATGGAGACTACCTACAATGAGAAATGAGACAGTAAAGAGGAATTTGTACCATAGTCTGTCTTTACTTTATCATTATGATTATTTTGAACAGATTGTGATATCTTGATCACTACATGAATTATTTATTGACATAATTTCCATGATACAGGGCAAAACATTTATGAGATCCCTAGAGGCTAGAGCCGAGCAGCCAACTGGTTCGAAGTGTCTACCGTTGGTCCAGGAGCTGAGCCTTTAGTTCGTTTATTCGAACATAAGTAGTTGAGTGACTGTAACCAAGAGACCAAAGATGGCTTACGAATCACATCGTCGGACTCAGCCACTTGACTATACAATTCACCAAGCACCATGTTTTGTCTTTCTTTTGGTAACTTTATAATTAGCTGTGCCAATGACTTCATCAGATATGGCAACACCTGAACCAAATTATGTATACACAGACGGAGAGAACATTAGCATATGAGCACACAAAGCTCCAGTAGCTGCTTAAGTCGATGGAGATGACAGGGAGAAGAAACTTACTTGTATATCAACCAAAGAGACAAGTCGCAGAAGCAACTCGAGAATTTGATCACCGGAATCAGACTTTCTTCCTTGCGGATCTTCCCAAGGATCAGTGTTAATTGTACAAGTCTTCTCAACAAGGCTGTGAATAGAATAAAATATGGCAGGACTTCCTGCAGGTAGATACCTGACCAAGGCTGCAACGCCTGAAGCTAAACCTTCAAATGGTGTGATCTCAGGATAAACCTGAACCATACATATTTAGTGGTGAACGAAAAAAGAGCTACATTACATTGTATCCATTATTCCGTTTGCATAGGTACCTCCAAAGATCGTTGCATGTAATAGAAAACAAGTTGTTCTTTGAGTTGATTTCTTTCGTCCTCCTCTGATTCCTTAGCTGAAGACAGAAATGCTACCAGCAAGGTATGAGATGCTCGCGCCACTTTTCTGTTAGGATGTCCAATATACCTAGCCAAGGGACTGTTAAGGAATAGGAAAGATAATACTTGCGGTAAAACAAAACAGAGTAAAGGACTTGTCGATTTTTTCTAGGATACAAAAACATGGTTGATGCAACGACCCTCCTGAAGGCAGAAGCAGATAACCGTCCAATGCAAGTTGGGATTACTCGAAGATAAAACAATATTCGAGATGTCTGCACCTCATCTCTAGACCATTCATATTCTATCCTCCGCGTAAACAAGTCTGCACAAAAGAAAAAACAAAAAAATTCCAAATCTTACTAGGGTACCAGCCTACAGAAATTTGTGATATGGAAATTGCAGAAACAATTGTTTCTCAAACCTTGCGGATTCGTCAGGCTATCATAGGCAGGAATGGACTCTACAAATGAAACACAAGTAGCATCATTCTCCTGGACACATGAAATCACCTCCCTAATGGTCTCCATGTATTCAGGTAAACGAATATGCCTAAAATATTCTAAACAAGAGAACGCAACTAATATCTTGACTGATGTCTCCATCTTTATTTCTGTCGACTCTATTGGATTTAGCCGTTGTTTCATAACAGCTAGCGCAAAGACGACAACCATAAGGAAAGATGATTCTGCAATTTTCTCTATGTCTCCAAGTAATATATCTTCTATACCACGAAGCAACAGAGCGATTTGACGGTGTTGTAAGTAGAGCTTTTGACAGAAATCCCAAATCATATTCTCCACGATATATTTGTTCTCTTCACTTGCTGATGAATATTGATTGCAGAAAGCCCCAGTTATGGCCCCTGATTCCTTATAGAGAACGTCAGAAAGATGCTCCCTGACCCAATTGAGTCTTGGACCAATAGGATCTTTGCAAAATGATTCATATATCTGGCCTAAAGGAAATACCTGAGTTAACAATGAAGAAGCAAGGCACAAAAGCAGAGGAACAGAGGAAGAAACAGACCCACATCGAGCCAATGCTATAGCAACGCACTTCAACAAGGGAACTTTTCCCTGTGTGGTTGGAAGTGTAACATTACCATTAGAAACTAAAAGCTGAGCTACAGATTCCATACGCTTCTCCGCTGAATTTCTTAGTTTAGAAATAATCTCAAAACTCTGTGCACCACTACTGAATCCTCCCGTGGAAGCTCTCAGTACCCCGGCTGCTGCCATGAAGACGGCAAAAACAGTATAGTTTGCCTTGGATGTCTCTAGTACTTCGCTCTTAAAACGAGACATTTTATCGACATTATTAGACCTCATATAACCTGACACAACCCACTCGATCAAATGTAAAATCATCAGACCATGAGTGACACTGCCACGAGGATCCTCTTCTTTCAACCAAATGCCAAACAAGAAATCCAATAGCCTGACGTAATGAACATCCAACGAAGAAGATAGACCGTACCCTACTCCTGCAAACACTACAGGAACAAGTTCTTCTTGAGATCCCACCAGTGAGTACTTTTCTTCCACAATCCTGCATAACAATTCCAAGCATAGGGCTTTCAAGTCTCCTGATAGAGAAGGAACACAAGCAAATGCACCAGCGACCAGAACGCTTTGCGCTACAAAGGCTGGTTCTGGTTGGAGATTACGCCTGTCATCAAGAACGCCACGAATGGCCTGAACCGCAGAACCAACAAGAGCTTGAGACGGTCGAAATGATTTCCTAATCCACACATACAGTAGTCTAAGAACAAGTGTGTAAGACTCAACCGGAAGAGAAACATCTCGTAAAGCTAGTATAGAAACAAGAAGCTTTGCTTGTGGATCAGCAACATGGATAGTAGACTCAGAGCTAACCAGAGCTCTCAAAGCTTGAAGATAACGTGTATCGAACTTCAGGTTTTGTACAGATTCTCGAATCTCAGACCATGCTTGAATAATTGACCTCGCAGACGGAACAGAATTCTGCTTCACCAAACCACTAGAGACACTACTTCCACTCACACCCCTTAACCATTCTTCGAGAAACAGACTATTGTTAGCTTTTCTCGCCATCTTAAAAACGACTAATTTAGTAGATTCTCATCAAGTATAACCCCTAAATCACGATTATGATAGTGGGTTTGATTCAGAATTGAAAACCCAGAAAAATCGTAACGGGAAAGGACGAAATTCAGCACATTTCATCAAATTAACTCTTCGAAATACGCAAACCCAAATCAAATAAGCGACGAGGTCGAACGAGAGCTTCGATTATCCACAAAATCTAACAAGTTATTTCGATAACCAGAAAAAGCCAAAATTTCCACACAAAAAACAAAATTGGAGGGCTTTTGAGTAGGCAGCGAATTCAAGCCGAGGTCTTTCCCTCTCTATCCAAAGATTTCTCTCACCCTCTCTCTCTGTTCGGTGGATAAGAAGAAGCCGCCGGGAAAAAAAACCAGTTTAATCTGCCTAGTTTGCCGTGCGGAGTTGCAACGTTTGTTTTGTGGTTATGGATTAAACCAACTAACCAGAAAACCGGAGATAAAAAAAAACCGCATGGTTTGAAGTAAACCATATACCGGATTATTAAATGTCTCTTTCATGAGCTCATTCATTTCGTCATTGGTCTACTTGCCTCGCTAAAAATAAAAAAGGTTGCACAAAATGTGGAAATGGAAATCAAATTAAAGTCAACGCTTCACGTGATCATAATAACCAATCTCCATATTCTCCTCTACGAAGC